GCTCTAAGACTTGATCTTCAAAATTTCTTTTCTTCACCTCTGCTACCTTTATGCCCTTGCAATCTAGCTTTATCTCAAGCTTTAAACACCACTTTTAGGCTGATGACACCTAAGTGCTATCTCTGAAGTTTCGATGTCTTTCTGATCCTCAGTCTTACATTTCGGATTGCCTACTCAGTAACAGTGATGTCTAGTAGATGTATCAATTTGAACATATCTTGGAATAAAATACTGATAGTTCTCTTTCACATTGACTGTCTGCATTAAATGCAATTCCACTTTCCATTTGCTAAAGCAAAAACAATTTGCAGTTAGTTTTTCCTCTTTTCTTTTATAAACTCTCTCCAATTCATGCACAAATCCTGTTAACTATACTTTCAAAAAATGTTGAGAGAACGTCATAACTGAGTAATTTCTTCAGATATAGATCCTGATTTTATTTATATATAATCTATTGCTTAATATATTGCCCATTTTCTAGTTCTATAATTGTATTTTTTTAATCTCTGTAAGTTCTATTTTTCTTTAAAATTTGCCCACACATTTCCATTAATCATTTATGTCTTGGTCACCTTTGTGATTCTTTATTATGAAGAATTTTTAAAATGCCTTTTAATTCCTTAATTACTTTTTGTTCAACTCTTGGTACACTAAGTTTAAACTTTATTTCTATTAGTATACATATTACTTAGAAAATGCTTATATTTTGTCATCTTTGATTGTGTGTTCATTACTTTCTTTCATCTATTACGAGTCCTGTGGGTTTCAGTTGGGAAAACTTTCCTCGCAAGAGGATAGACAGAAATTCTGTTTCTGGTTACTGGGAAGCACATCTACCTTTTTCAGGTGAGGATTTTGGTCCAAAGTTCAGTATATTTGTGTCACATAATAGGATATGTGCTGAAAAATGCCTTGTAGGTGATCTTTGTCACCATGGGACATCATTGAGTGTACTTACTTACACAAGCATAGAGGGTATAGCCTATACAGACCTAAGGATTATGGTATAGCCTATTGGGACCACCATCAGGTAGGTGCTCAGTCACTGACATGAACATTAGACAATGCAAGCTGCTGATATCCACTCTGTCCTTCCTTGCTACTGCATCTCTAACACCAGTTCATGTTGTGCTGTTAGCACACTAGTTTGAGAGGGGTTCTCTTTGGTGACCATTACTGCCTTATCTGGGATCAACAATGCTTCAAAGAGAGTGTCCAATCTGTGATCTGGTTATTTTGAAGTCAGACTAGAATGCAGGTAAAGGAAGAAAAGGTTTTGCTTTTTCTTTTTTACCTTTTGTTTATAAAAATGAATACAGAAATATGATGTAATCGTTAATCTGCTTTTTCCTCCTATAATTCACTCAGGTTTTACCCTGTATTTTTCTAGACTATGTTTTAGGTATATACAAGTTTATGATTGATATTATCTTTCTGTTAACATTAAGTAAACTCCTTTATATCTTATTTAATTTGTCTTAAATTCATGTTCCAGTGCATCGCATAAATAAGTTCAGATTCAACCCATAAATATATTTTACCTCTTCACCATACTCTTCCTTCTTTTATTGTGTTCTTTTAAACTTAGACTTATTTGGATTTTAAAATTTTGGTTTATTTATTCATTTTTTTCACCATTTTTTTCTTTCTTGCTTTCCACTCCTTCTGGGTTCATTTTATATCTTGTTGAAATGAAACTTTTAATGGTTTGATCCCTAGTCTTCCTACAGCTTTTAAACACATAATCCTGTTTTGCTTATGCATGAATTTATTTTATTTTCAATCTTGAGGAAAAGATTAGATGGAAAGGTTTGAGGTTTATGTAAATATTCCTTTAGCAGTTTTAAAATATAATTCTGTTGTCTTTTGAGATATTTTGCTATAGATCAAGTCTCTTATAATTCAATATTTTTTGTTAGCATTTATTCTTTCTTTGATAGCTTTTATTTTGTCCTAAATACTAAATAGCTTTATTAGAATGTATCAAGTATAGGGCCTCCTTGGTGGCTCAAGGGGTTAAACACAGCACTGTGAAGCTATCAGCAGCCTCTGTAGTGCAAGTTTGGTCCTGGGCCCACCAGGGAGCAACCCACATGGTGCAGCAGATCTCTCCTGTCTCAACCACTGCTCCCCTCAGCAATGTATTTCAGTTGATCTGCATGTTCTTCTTCCCACTCTGTCTCTGGTGAATCTCACCCCCTGCACCTCTGGGCTGTACCCCAGATCTTGTATGCATAAATAAATAAATCTTTGAAAAAAAAGAATGTATCAAATATAGAGTTTATTTGTTATTCTACTTGCTTTTATATATTATTTACTAATATAGCATTCTCAGCTTTCATTCTTAAAAGTTTTTAGCCATTGCAGGTTTGAATTGTTTCTCTTCCCAATTATTTCTCTGTGTCGCCCCTAAAAATTCAATTACACACTTGTCGAGTTTTCTTCTATCTCTCTGTTCTAAAATTCTAAATGAATTTCTGTTTTACATTTCAGTTTATTAATTATATGTTTGCATGTGCCCAGTTTACTAAAAAGCATTTCTATTAAAACTATATCAACCATTGTATTTTAGTTTCAGTTTTTTACTTGGTTAATTTTTACATTAGCATGTTATTAATAACTGAATGTTTTCATCCCATAATTCATTTGAGTCTGAGGATCCTAGATGCCCACTAGCAGATTATAAGTAAAAGAAACATGTGCCATCCATGCTTCCCCATGTTCATACCACTTCCAAGTGGCTTTCTAGATAGTGATAAGAGCAATTTTTGAAGTCAAGTACTGAAGATGGAAGAATATCTATAGGTCCAGTTCATGGGACAATTTTATGCATCAAAGCCAGTGGCAAACTAAAATCTTCCTCCCCTTGTATTGCTGGTAGGAAAGAAACATCTTTTCAGCAAATCTTAGCTTAAAAACTCATCTTATATTGGAATGTTTCTCTTTTCACCATTTTCTGAAGTCATCTCAGTCTAGACACAGGGGTCCACAGCACAGAAATAGGTCAGGACACCACGGGACAGTAGCTTTTCCATCATCTGAGTATATTGAGTGGTCGGGGTCCAACTTGTACCACTGCCTCCTTTACCCTCTCCACCACATACAGTTTGTTTCTCTTCTAAAAATTTTAACCACAACATTCCTGTAGTTAACTTGGCTTTGTGACCCAAACATGCAAGGGCTGAAGTTTTAGACTCGGTTCCCGCCTAGAATTCAGTATGTCTTTAGAAATAAGGCTCCATTACTCATTGTGACTTCCAAAACATTTCTTGTTCATCTGTATTTTTTAGCACTATGACGCTCTTTCATCATTTCATAAGATACTCTACAAACTATCTGTAAAATGAGAGCAGTTATTCTTGCATATTTAATCAAATATGTCTTGTATAATTTATCCTAGGCAATGTGATCTACACTGCACACACACACACATACATACAACATGAGTATTTACTTTAGCATTCTTTCTAAAAATGATATAGCAGAAATAAAATAAATGATTGATAATAATGTGTGATTAAATAAGTTCTAGTATTCATAAAATGAAATACAGTCAGTAAAATGATTGTTAAAATATTAAAAAAATAATTTTTTTATTTTTTTAAAGATTTATTTATTTATGCATACAAGAACTGGGGTACAGGCCAAAGGTGTGGGAGTGACAGGATTTACAGAGACAGAGTGGGGAACAGAACAGGTAGATTGACTGAAATTCACTGCTGAAGGGAGCAGCCAGTGAGTTAGGAGAGGTCTGCTGCGCCATGAGGGTTGCTCCCTGGCTGGCTGGGGGATTGAACTCGAGCTTCAGTGGCTGCAGATAGCTTCATAGGCTGCGTCTTAACCCCTTGCTCCACCAGGGAGGCCCTAAAATTTATTTATAATTATGAATGTATGTATATATTTTTGCATGTTTGAGCGTGTGTCTGTATACACAACAGATTATGTTGATAGGACAGCAAATTATTTTAAATTTGTGGGCTCTGAATTTGTATTTTCCCAATAGTTTATGATGAACACTTTTTTTTTTTAACTTCGGAAGACAGGATAAAAAGTTGAACTTTTAAAGGTGATATTATACTTCCATAATGAAAAAAATAGAGTTGGTATTAACTGTCAATGTATTTTAAAACATGTAATTGAATATCATACATTTAGGATCATTTTGTTTTACTGTGTCTGGCACAAAAACAATACTGATGCTTATTTATTTACCAAAATCTTGGGCTCAAATCTGGAATCTTGAGCCTGCTGCTTCATTTGCATGCCTTTTGAAGCTTCCATTATTTACCAAGGGTTTAGTAACTTGGGCTCTTTGAAGCAAAACAGAAACTAACAAAGATCAAAGACAAACTGTAAAACTGATCCTTGAAAGCAGGTCTTAGATCTGAGACACTGAGGAGGGAAGAAGTGGGGAGGGAGAGAAGGGAGTAGAGAACAGGGAGAAAGGAGAGTTTGGTGGTGGGTAGTGGGGGACTATGTGTACTTTGGTGGTGGGAATACTATGGTATTGGCACCTGAGGGAGAAATCCTATACTGTGAACAAAATAAATAAGTATACTTCAAGGCAAAAATTTAAAAATTAAAAAGCAGTAAATTATATGTTAACTATCTCATGGTTCCATTATTAACCTATTGGATTAGTGCAGCAAAGAAATGTACAATGTACTACGTTGATGGTGGTACAAAAAGTTAATGAATACAAAGTGAAGAAACAAGTTGATCAAATAATCAGTAGAAAATTTTCCAAAATATTTTCTTAATAAAATCCTATGGGAAATATTGAGGTAATGAGAGAAGTATCAGAATGAGTTTGAAGATGTCTTTTTGATTGTGTGTATGCTTAAAAAGTTAATATAGAAATTTCACACATTTGGAAACAAACTCTAGAGGGCTGATGTAAGTAAAAAAAAAAAAATCTTTGAGGCGAGGCTCAATTGCTTTAAAAGCACTATATCATCAAAGTTCCTAAAGGATTGGGCAAATAAGTATGCTTTTATTTTTTCAACATGGAATACTTCATGAATTTGCCTGTTGTCTTTTTGCAGAGGCCATGCTAATCTTTTGTGTATTGTTCCAATTTTAATATATGTACTACCAAAGTGAGTGCTATCATTTTTATTTCCTAATGCATCTGCTTATTGTTCCCATCTAATAAAAGAATGATCATTAAATTAAGCGTTGGTGAATTGAATAGAATTGATTTAAGTTTCCAAAATCAAAAAAAGATATAAAAGCAACTATATAGTTGCAAATGATGACAAAATTGAATACAGAAAACGTATTGTATATCTGATATAAGAATTTGTTCTCTATATAATATTTCTGTATGGAAACCTCCCTTGAAAAATTCTGAGGTTTTAGAAGATTTATCCTTGTTTTGATTTTTCTGTTCCAGTTACTTACTCTTTTTCTTTTTAAGTCTAAGTCCAGTTAGAGTAGAAATGGATATATATATCCAAATGGATATATATATTTTCAAAGTGAAGCATTTAAAAATACAAATTTCATAAATAATTAATGCATCTTGGCATAGAGTTTAACTGACATGCACAAGAGCTGGATTACCCAATAAGGCTGACTTTTCCTCAAGCTTTGAAGGCAATAATAGATAGCTTTATGCTATTTACAGGAAGAGAAAAAAGCAAAGCAAAGCAAGCTTCCAAGCAGGGGGCAGCTATATTTATGAACCTTGATACTTGGCCAGTAGATTTTTTTGCATAAAACAAGGCCTGCTAAGCATGGAAACATAACATGTTAGTCAACTTTGTTGATCAAACACAGCTGTAATGTAGTTGTGCATTTTCCATTCTGTAGAGTTATTCATTCTGCAAGGGAGCATGCAGCATGCTGAGGACATTAAAAGCATGCTGCTAAAATACAAAAACAAAAGAAAGGAAAGGAAAACAGAGCAAAATGTAGATCTCACTCAAAGAGTCCCACTCATCAAAAGTCCCTTCCTGAATCTGTCACATTAAACATTATACCCCCCCTTTTATTTCTAATTCTCATTAATTAATTAAAAATGTTGATCGATATCATTCATTTTTTAAAGGGAATGTAATGATGACAAATGACAGAATAAGTTAAGTAAGCCCAAAGTAATTTCTATATCTAATATATTTTAAGTCCATATAAGGTAAACCTTTTGCATATATCCTAAATATTAACACTTCATAGCCTTTTATTTCTACTATAACCCATAAAATACCTATTTATTCCTCCACCAGTATTATTTATGATAATTTCAACATCTTAATGAATTACATTTCATCAGTGTTCTCAAGTCTTTAATAGTCAAAATCTGTTTTTAAGTACTATTTTCATAACACAGGGAAAAGTGAAAGCCTTGGGCTTTAGGAATGATTTTTAAACCACATTCTATCTTAATGAAATCATTGTTAGAAGGTTAATCATTAGCAATACTAGAAATTCTATAATTCTCACAATCATAATTTCAAAATCCTGTACTATTTTCCATCTAGAAAACTTACTTTTAATTATGTTTCCATTTCTGCAATACTTCGATTTCCTCAAGATCACCAACCTGCTGATATCTTTAATTTCTCCCTGTCGAGTGAAGCTGTCTTGTTACCATTTCTCTCATTTTCCAGCTTAGATTTCTTTGTTAACCATTTTGATCATCACTTCATGAGAGTACATGCCAATACTCCCAAATGCCTTATTTTCCATTCTGTCTTTTGTACTTACTTGGCAAATTGAAAAATCTGTTTCTAACTACAATATAAATAGCATAACACTACACAACAGTCATTTCCCTGCTCTCTTTCAAACAGAAAGGGACTTTGGGAAACAGTTTCTTCATACTTAAAAAGAGATGGTGACCTCATGGTCCATCTACTTTGGTTAGGTGGTCTGGATGTGTTTCCTGAAAGTATGGCAGCCATTTTGTGACTGTGAAGGAAGCTAGTCATAGCAGAGAACAGCATTTGAAAATAGTCAGGGAAAGTTCATGAACTTGAGTGATCTTAAAACATTAACTTCACCAAAACTGGACCAGTGAATGCTATGCTGCAACTTTTCTTTTAACTTGAGATAATAGATCCCTCTTATTTGCTAAGGTGGTTCAGTATTCTCTTACTTATGGTCAAAAGTATTCTGAGGAACCTGAGATACTTACTGTGATGTAATCACGTAATTAATCCCTTTCAAATTATGATCAATAACTTTAAATAGAAACAGTACACTATATAGCATTCATATAGTTCCTTTCCTAGAAATTTTGCTTTTTTACTGTCTCAAATAGCGATTTCATACCATCTCTCTTTCGTTATTTTAAAACTTTCCTTATTTTATTAGTTCCAGTCTTACTGATAACCTTATCAAAACCAGTTATAAAATCTTTAACTTTCTCATTGCTAATTTTTCAGTCCCATGGATGTCTGTATACATTTTCCCCCTTCACGTTACATCTGAAGAAATCTTTGTGCTCTTGTACTAACCTGTCCACTTGAGTGCTAGATTGCCTTCGCCTTGCTTTCTGAAGGAATGATTCTTTCTCTGAGAACTGTATCTCCACTTGTGTTCAATAGAAATAACACACTACCCCAACTTCATTCCATTTACTTCTCAACTAACTCTTATCTGATTTAAATCTCCATTATTTAGTGGATTCTACCTTAGTAAGTTGACCAATTAATATGATGTTTCTGAACTCAACATATATAATCATATGTGACATTATTAAAACTTTCAGCTGTAGCTGATACACTGACCATCCCATCTTTCCTCAGGCACAGTATCATTTCTCATGCTTCTCCTCTTTCAGTGATTAGTTAGTGATTAGTGCTTTTTCACAAAAAAATTATTTTGTGGATTACCCATGAAACCTTTAAAAGTCAAACCTTCTCAGTGTTCAGTCTATGATCTACTTTTCTAAATCTACACACTGCCTTGAAGACTGGTGACCTCATCCATTTCTATGACCTTTTTTTCAATATCAAATTATTACTCGTACAGACACACATATACTTTATAAAATTACATTGTAATTCATGAACACATGTAATTAAGGACTCTTCACAAATTCTGTGCATTGAGATTCTCTAGTCATTAATCTTATGAGTACTTTTTTTCTAAATCTGTCTTTAGGCTGATAATGCACTATATATATAGATATGGTGCACTATATATATATTTATATATATATATATATATATATATATATATATATCTAGCCAAGAATCATGGATATAAATACAATTGTATTTTGGCAGTACTCAAATGCATATCTCACTACCTCTGAATTTGTGATCAATACCCATTCTCTACTTGATAACTTGCCCATCTAACTGAAATGTTAAATTCAAAGTCTCAAACCTAAACTTTTGTTAATCTTCTCTATTTCAGTTAGAATATTACAAGTGACCTAATTAATGAAGCAGTAAAGCTGAGAGTCATTTTGACTTTATTTTATTTCCCCTGCCCAATCCATCAAAAGATTCAATTGGTTGTATATCTGAATTATTTCAGATATCACCCATCTAGATCCATTTCTTCTGCCACCACTTTCGTCCACACACAAACTATTTATTTGAAAAGCCTCCTAACTAGTTTCTCCATTCTTCTTTAAATTCACTGCAATATATTCTATCTAACAGTCAGAGGGACTTTTAAAACACAAATTAGATTAGACAAATTCCTTATTTTAAACCTTTCTATATCGCCCCATTTTCATTTCAGTTATAATAAAATCCAGGCCTTGAAATCCCCACATACTGGCCCACATGGGCTTCCTGACTTTGCACCTGTCTTTCCCATTAACTCAGTAATCCCCAGGCTCCCTGGAGTTATCTCAGTTTCTATAACGGTTCGGATTAGTTCCTATTTAGGCAACTTTGAGATTGCAGTTCTCCTGAATGCTTTCCCACTGTTTTTTTTTTTTTTTAATACATCTTTCTGTTTTCATTCTTCCAGCTTTCATGTAATAGCCTCCTTCTTAGGGAAATATTGAATTCTATGTTTACTAGCACACCTTGCATTAATAAAACCATTCTAACATAGTGACTAGGCATTTCCTTCATAGTACTTATCAAAACCAGTAATTATTTTGACTGTGTATGTATGCTAGTTAACTGTCTGTCTCTCTTACTGGAATATGAGCTCTATGAGGGTAGATCTTTAAGTCTTTTAACTTTTATATTCAGATAAACTAGAACATAGCAGGTATTTAGTAACATTTTTTGAAATAGGTGATAATTTATAAAAACTCAATAACATTATCCATAATTGAAGAGAAATATGAGGTGAAAAACTTCTTACAGAAGGCTTTTATCGCTATCTCTGACTATCCTGAGATACTTTATACTTTCTTTTTTTAATGAACGTTACCCATAGAATAATCTGTTTTTCAAAAGATTTATTTATTTATGCATACAGGAACTGGGGTACAGGCTAGAGGTGTCGGGGGTGAGAGGATTCACTAGAGAGAGTAGGGAGCAGAACAGGCAGATCTACTGAAATACGCTGCTGAGGGGAGAAGCGAGCAAGACAGGAGAGGTCTGCCGCGCCATGTGTTGTCAGCTCCCTGGCCAGGGTTCGCACTTGTGCTGGTGATAGCTTAATAGTGCCGGGTGAGGCCCACTTCATAATTTCTAAGTATTAATTTTTCATGCAACCCTTTTAATATTTTAGTACATAAAATTAATTTATATTTATTTAAGCCATGTCTCAATCCAAAAAGTAACTTCAAGAAATACTTCTTCAAAATATATCAGAAATACAAATTGAGAAAAAAGCCTAAGTTAGGAGATTGCCTCTGAGTAAAAGTAATATATAATAGCTATAACTATCACTAGTGATACTTGGTGTTGTGTACCAAAGAACTGTAAGTACTGCCCTATATAACCATCACATTAAGCCTATAGTACAGATATTTTCTTAGCTTCTCAAAATAGGCAGAATTAAATTTTTAAAAATTAAAGACCACTAACCTAGTAGAGTATAGGCCTCTGATGTCAGCGTACAACCTACTGTTGCACTGGTTAGGAGGTTGTTGTGGATGAACCTCCAAATAGGTGACATGACATGATATGAGGAACCACAAACCTCAATCCACTTCAAAAAGAATTCAAACACCGCTTGCGAACA